ATTACCCTCCTTTATTTAGAATGCAGTAACTTCACTGGTTGAGTGAAAACACCTCAGTTTTCTACTAGACAATCCCATTCTTTTCTGCAAAATGAAGAAAAGAGGACAGAGATGCGTAACTACCTTAACATTATAAAGGAAATAACATGGCTCTTGGCCCTTAGCTCTGAGGCCCTAGAAATCATGATCTTTTTCACTTTATTTCTTCTGAAGTGGAAAAAGTTCAAGTCAAAATAGTTAAAATTTGCAGACATGCACGGTAACAAGAAATTATAGTATGTTCCTCTGAAAAAACTTGGCATATTGTGCTCAAATTCAGCCACTTAATATTCATAAAGTCTAAAAGAAAGTAACTGTAAAAACACTTGTGTCCAGATTGTAACCTAAGTGCAGGTTTATAATCTTCTTGACTTGTAACCAAGCTAGAGTCTGAGGCTGGAAGATTTGTCAGGCAGCATTTTGGTTAAATACTTGAAGAAGCGATAAAAAATAAGTAAAAGCTGAAATAATTTGTGATAAATCCACCATTTTAAGTTAAACAGACAATTTACTGGATGTAAATGATGTAATGAAATTTTTACTTTGTCTTGTTTTAAATTATCTAGTACATTTGTATGTCCAACTGAGATAATCGCCTTCAGTGACAGAATTGAAGAATTCAGAGCAATAAATACCGAAGTAGTAGCATGTTCTGTGGACTCAAAGTTCACTCATTTAGCATGGTATGTATCTTATCCTTGTCTTTTACTAAAAATCATTCATGGGTCCATCTTAGCTGAAAAACCCTATCCCCAGATTTGTAGCCTATGTAGGTATATCATAATGTGTAAAAGCGTGATGCTATTGATACAAATGTTTAAAATATTTTTCAGTAGTAAAAATTTGTAACCCTAGTGTGTGAAAGTACCTTTATCTTTGAAGCTTGTTTCATATGTACTGCTTGAAATATATGGTCTCAGTCCAAAAAAATATTTCAAATACAAAAGAAAAAAAGAGATAAGGATGCAAATATCTGCAAACGCATTACACTGGCCCAATTCATGAGGACGTTGGTATGAAATGAATATGACTGATAAGAAGGAGGTCACTATTAATAGATGTGGCCAAAACTGGCAAAAGATCTACTGAACATTTTGCTTGAACCATAAATAGTATTCATCTCCCTTGTGTGCAGAACAAGAAAAATGTCTCTTGCACTAAATCCTTCTGTCTGTACTGTTCTGGTTTGTGACTTAACTTTGTGTTTTTTGGGAACATAAATCTTTATGAGAAATACATCTGTATCTCATTTCTTTCAAAGGATTAATACTCCTCGAAAACAAGGGGGACTTGGACCTATGAAGATTCCGCTTCTTTCAGATTTGACACACCAAATTTCAAAGGATTATGGCGTATATCTGGAAGATCAAGGGCATACACTTAGGTATTTCACTTGGTTACTGTTCATTTTGTTCTGCTGGAGTAGCACTTACTACTTTATATCTAAAGAAGCATTTGAAATTTTTCTTTGAGAGCAGTTTTTTCTTGTCCTGCTGAGAGACAAAATAGATATTGAAGAACATCATAAAAAATTAGCCGTAATGAGTCAGAATGGGGATGGAGGTTAGTATCCTGTTTATCAGCAGTCATCAGCAGATACGTGGGGTAGGGCAAACATGCAGAATACCCCAGACCTGCCGTTACTCAGGGACCCTCCAAGTCTAAGTGGAGTCAAGACTAAGGGTAACTAATGCCTCAAGAGATCCGTCCTTCATAAACTTGATTAGTTGCTTTTGCGATCCCTGAAAGGTCATAGCATCTGCAGCATCCCCTGACAGGGCCTGCCAAAGCTTAGGTTTATGTTCTGCAAAAAACTATCCTGTTTTTTGGTTTTAACTTGCTATCAGCTTATGTCATCTGATACCCCACGTAGAGAATAGTAGGTTAGTAGTATTCTAAGGTGGTCGGTATTGTATGGTGTTTACAGACATCAAATTCTTGCCATTCAACAGACATAAAATAGTGTGTAAACACAGCACTGTAATTCTGTTTCCTAACACACACCAAAAAAAAATGTTTTCACAGAGGCCTTTTCATTATTGATGATAAGAGAATCCTTCGACAGATCACGATGAATGACCTTCCTGTTGGGAGATCAGTGGATGAAACGCTTCGTTTAGTACAAGCATTCCAGTACACAGACAAACATGGAGAAGGTGCTTTTTTAAATACTTTCATGTTGAAGATTGTTTCCTTAGACTGGAAGATGTATTTGTAGCTTTTGGGAAGCAAGGTACTCAGTAGTATTAGAGACTAGCCTCATGCAGTGAATGAAGTGGTTTGATTGCCCTGCTGCAAGTTTCTGTGGTCCTGGTACCTCCGTAGGTTGTTTCTAGTGTAGTAATTCACATTTTGCTTCACATTCATGAGAATGCAGAGCATAAAGCATTCCTTAGTCTGAATTAAGGTATTACATACCACCTGTCACAAGCATAAATCTGTACAAAATATGGGTCCACAAAGAATCAGGCGCAGTATTTCAGTACATTTTGGCATACTAAAGTAATTGAGATGCAGGCCATCCTTGTCCTGCGTCATTCATTGAGGATCTGTGACGAGTAATTGAGAGTGCTTCATGTCAAGGTACACGGTGATACTGTGAAAATTAGACCGCCATTACTTGTGTTCTCTTTACAAGTGCTATGTGATCATCTCCCTCTGACAAAGAAGCTTTCACAGGCTTCAGATCATTACTTTGTCTCAAGAATTTGTCAAGAATCGCCCCAGTTCAAGCATAGGGTGAACTTTTTACATTTCTTTAACTAATATGTTTAAACAAACACATTCATTTTTAAAAATAGTTGCTTAAATATTGAATACACCTGTGCAGCTTAACTTCCATTTCAACTGAGTTTCACCTGGCATTTCTTTAACTAATATGTTTAAACAAACACATTCATTTTTAAAAATAGTTGCTTAAATATTGAATACACCTATTCAGCAGCTTAACTTCCATTTCAACTCAGTTACCTGGCATTTGAAAGTAGCTTTATCTGAAGGTACAAATCATTATTATGCTTTGCTGTACAGATTTAAAAAGATAAATGCTGTTACTTAGGCTATGCACATTTGACTAAGGAAATTTAGTCTCTCTCATTTAGTTACAAAGCTGTCTTACAGAAGTGGCTTTCCAGAGTACTGCATTTTTTTCCCAGCTGTACGTGGAATCGCACCAGCTTTTGCATGAACAGTGCAGAGACCTTCCCTGGCCCCCTTAATGGATTCTTTGCACAGAACAGGAAAAAAAGTTCTCCACAATTCCTAACTGCATTTTGTGGTGTTTTGTCTGACAGCGTGCCTTAAAGCAGCGTCATATGGCATAATTCATCAGGCTAAAGCCTCAGAGGGAGAGCTCTGAACAGATAAGAGCTTCACCCCCAGAATGTGCAATTCTACAGGTGGTCACAGGGCCCCAGCCTCACTGCATGTTAACCGCATGCTACAATCCCTTTACTCCTGAGCAAGGCTTCAAGTGAAATCACTCCATCTCTTGTGGAATCTTTGAACTGATCTCTTTGCTAAAATATTTCCCCTATCATTGGTTTTAAAGAAAGAAAGGTAGGTCTCTGTGTAGTCACCCGAATTTTATCATGAAACTTTTGTTTCTACTAGAGTAGGTGTTCGTTCTCAGATACTGCTTTGCCAGTACTTTGGAAGGGCACGAGAATTAAACCAAAGCATAGACATCCAGCTAGAGGTACGCTGTTTCCAGTTAACAGAAGTGGTAGGTGGTATCGGGTATAAACTGTTATGACACCATCCCATCTGTAAAGAAAACTGTGTGTTTAATAGTTGCCGATATTTACATGTGACGTTTGTGTGCTGGTTTACTTGCAGTTCAGAAAGAGAATATTCAGTGCACAAAAGTAAGTGTGTGTAAAAATACTTTTACTGACTTTGTCCTTTTTTTCTTCCAGTTTGCCCTGCTGGTTGGAAACCTGGCAGTGAAACAGTAAGTCGCTGTTTATATTTAAATGCACATACTACTAAAAACCACTCAGTTATTTCCACTAAAGCCAAATCCAAAATCTTTGCAACTTTCAAAGAGATGATGTGAGTAAACTCACATTGTTATAGTTACAGCTTTTGGATTATTACTGATTTCATTAGGAGCTCGTTTCCCTCACACTAGACATATTCCAGTTGTTTCACATTCCCTGTATATGAACAAAACTCTTGAGCAGCAACGAGTTTGTGATCAAGAACTTTATTCCTATAAACACCTGATGAGAGGAAATTGGAAACTCCTGAGTCTGTCCTATCTTCTCGGTTATTTGTTCATATAAATTCTTGGCTCTGTCAAGCGTTACTGTGGATCCTAGGCACTACCAAAAAAAAGAAAGATACAAGTTCCTGGGCTGCTGTAGTATCTGACAGAGCCAGCCTGCCACTGTCAGAACTCCAGTAGAGAGCACTGCTTTGCTGCGCAATAGCTCTTCCTCCTTTGTTACTACTCGCCTCCATGTGACTACCAGCAGAAGAGCTAGGGTTCAGATAAACACCCGTCGAACTTGTTTGTGTTCTCTGGGCTTGCATCAAGCCTCAGCAGAATAATGAAACGTTCACTAGAGGTCTGAGCCGCCTAGCTCAGATGAGATCACTGTCATTTATTTGAGTGCATGGCTTGCTTCTGAACCATCTGGTGATGACAAAGCGTCATTGTTTAAGAGCTGTCTCAACAAAAAGCAGGTCCCAGCAGCCTCTAAGCAGAGTAGTGAGCATTGTAATTAATAGTAAAACCAGTGGAATGTTAAACCATGTTTCTTTGCTGGATGTGAAAACTTCCCAGAAGCTAGGAGTCACCTCTTCCAAGCTAGCAGAGGAGTGGCTTAGTGGGGGAAGCTGGATATTAAGACTGTAAAATGAAAGAGGGCTGGCTGGCCTACTAGACGTATTTTGGCACTGAAAAGTTTTGCCCTCCATAACCATGGATTACCTAAATAATATGACTTTAATATATTTTCTAAAAAAGTCTTAGAATATTTAGATTAACAGCTCAAATACTACCAATTTAAAGATCTAAAACAATACATAAGCATTCTCTTTCTTCTCTGTGCAAAAGATGCAGATAATTTAAATAGCAAAGTAGTTCAAAAGGACTTTATTGACGATGTAGCTATGCCTTCTAAATATGTTTGATTTAATTAGATCAAACCAGAGGAAGCCATGAGAGTGTGGTGGCCAAGGGAAGAACTGTAAGTAAATTCTAAGAGTCTTGATTACAGTTAATTTATTAAAATATATTGCTTTTGGGCTGAGCAACATATATGTATGTGCTCCCAACTGTCAAAATTCTTCCTTTGGTAGCCTGCACTCTCTCTTCCCCCAATTAGTTAAACCTTTCTGCTACTGCCGGTAGGTGTCTTTAGAGGTAAACAGTAACCTAGTATCAAGTCAACTGGTAAATTACTCTTCGGTATTGCTTGTGGGTTGGCTTTATCATCACATTATGATATAGGGATCATAATATGGGCAGGGAATGGATTGAAAGCAGCCCTGAGGAGAAGGACTTGGGGGTGTTGGTTGATGAAAAGCTCAACATGAGCCAGCAATTCACGCTTGCAGCCCAGAAAGCCAACCGTGTCCTGGGCTGCATCAAAAGCAGCATGACCAGCAGGTCAAGGGAGGTGATTCTGCCCCCCTATTCTGCTCTTGTGAGACCCCACCTGGAGTACTGCATCCAGCTCTGGGGGCCCCAGTACAAGAAAAACATGGAGCTGTTGGAGCAAGTCCAGAGGAGGGCCACGAAGCTGATCAGAGGGCTGGAGCACCTCTCCTATGAGGACAGGCTGAGCGAGTTGGGGTTGTTCAGCCTGGAGAAGAGAAGGCTCCAGGGAGATCTAATTGCGGCCTGCCAGTATCTGAAGGGGCCTACAGGACAGCTGGAGAGGGACTGTTGATCAGGGAGTGTAGTGACAGGACAAGGGGGAATGGGGTTAAGCTAAAAGAGGGG